ATAATTCGCATATTCTAACTCGAATTGAAGATTTCGATACTACAATATTGTTTATGTCTAACAACTGTAAGGCCTGTATCCTTTGGCCTGATAAGATTGCAATAAATCCAAGTAACTTAAAAGTTAACAATTTCAAAGTTATCTTCCTAACTGGAGATAAAGTCCGTAAATAATTTAATACTAAATTCACATCCCAAATCATCTTATTTCTGGGCAATGAAGGTCGCATATTGAAAACACCTTTTAAAAATCTTATAATCACTGGATGAGTTCCAACAGGTTTGTGATCAATAAAAATAAAAGTTGATAGGGCACTTCTTGCCGAGTTAATAGCACTGTACGAAAGATTCTTATTGAATAACACAGTTAAAAATTCCACAACATTCACAACATTTGTAGTAAAGGGATCCAGACACCGTTCAGTGCAATATTGAAACCATTGTTTGATGTAAACTTGATATTGTTTCTGTGTAGAGTGTCTCCATGATGAAAGGACGACCTTCTTAGCTTGTTCTGAAAACCCCTGGTTTTGGTAATATTGCCGGACACTACAGCAGCTACTAACTTCATTCTGGGTAGAGTTTTCACGTCCTTTGTTGGATGTGATAAGCAATCTTCTATCCTAGGCAAAAGGATTGGAAGTTCAATTAACATACGAATAAATCTAGAGTACCAATGTTGTGTATTCCATAGTGGTACAATTATAATACCAGTAGTTTTCTCTTGTTGAATTTTGTTTAGAATCTTTCCCACTAAACAAAATGGGGGAAATGCGTAGAAATTGTCTTCCCATACTTCAGAGAAAGCATTTACTCTAAATGCATAAGGATCATACTCATAAGAATAATATTTATCTACTTTAAAGTTTAATCTTGATGCGAACATGTCTGCTTCAGGCTTAAACCAGGCATCACTGATAATTTGAAAGCTGTTTTCTTTCATGTCCCATTCAGAAAAATCATGTTCAGTTCGACTTTGATAGTCGGCTTCACAATTCAAACGACCTGGAATATACGAAGCAGATAATGTAATTCTTTTCTCAATGGCCCATAAATACATTTCTCTTGTA